GAAAGAAAGAAAGAAAGAAAGAAAGAAAGAAAGAAAGAAAGAAAGAAAGAAAGAAAGAAAGAAAGAAAGAGAAAAAGAAAAAGAAAAAGGCCTGAAGAGATGGCTGAGCTGTTAGAGGCGAGGCTCACAACCAAAAGTAGAAGAAAACAAAGGCCAGCAAATGCTGACGAGGATGTGAGGAATCGTTATCCACCACTGATGAGGATGTGTGATTATCAGTTTTGAGGTTCCTGAAAACAGGTTGAAGAGAAGGCTTCACTATTTCAAGCTCCAAGTTCAATTCCTAGCATCCATATGGGGCGGATCACATCTGTCTGTAACTGCAGCTCCAGGGGATCTGATGAGTTCTTCTGACATCCAGGGGCATCTACTCACATGCACTTACCCACACATATACACACATAATTAAAAATAAAAATAAATAGAATTAGCAGATCCTCCAGCTATACCACTACACTCCTGGGGATCTACCCAGAAGACTAAGTCAGCACACCACAGAGATACATGTTCATCCAGAGTTACTACCAACAGCCACAAGAGGTAAGAAATGGAACCAGCGTAAATGTGCAAAATCCAATAAACGTCATATATATACATACCATGGATATTTTTTGCAGACATAAAGAAAAATTAAATCATGGCATTTGCAGAAAAATAGATGGAACTGGATAAAGTCATTACATTAAATAAAATAAGCTAGACTCTGAAATAACGCCACATGCATTCTCTGAATGAATGAGTCTTGAAAAAGAGAAAACCATAAAGGAGAGTGAGTTATGAGTATTTCTGCTTGGGTGCTGTAGGTGTAACTCAATCAAACAGTTGCCTACCATGTTCTTGGCTTCAGTCTCCAGCACTGCTAAGAGATAGTTTTATTTTGCCCAAAATAAACCATACAGTTTTCTGAAATCTTGGGAGGTTTTAAGTATACTAACAATACCATTAAAGCTTGGGTCCCTTTTAAAATAATGAATATTTTAACTTTAGGAGCTGGAACGAGCCTGGAGAGAATATGACAAGTTAGAATATGATGTGACTGTCACCAGGAACCAGATGCAGGAGCAGCTTGATCGCCTTGGGGAAGTGCAGGTAGGACAGGTGGTCGGTCTGCTTGCAGTCAACTTCTGTAACCTTGACAGGCTCACACACATCGTCTTCAGTGACACAGTTCTTACTCTCTACAAAGTGCGTCTCCTCTTTAAAGCCCTTGCCTTTTGCCAAACCCTGATGAGCCCTGAAGTGCTTGTGCTTCTTGGGGCTTAGCATAGTTCCCTCAGCACTGTGTTCTCAGTACTCAGCTCAGTTCTTAGGACTGTGCTCTCAGCACTCACCTCAGCTCTCAGCACTCACTTCAGCTCTCTCAGCACTTCCGTAAATGTGGTTGAGACTCTTCACAATTCATTCTGTGACAGCTGATACAGAATTGTTCATTAAATGCACCATGACCAATACAAAACTACACAGAGAAAGAAACCCTGTCCAACAAAACAAAACCAAAAAAAAAAAGAGTTTGGTTGGTCATGGTATCTCCTCACAGCAATAGAACAGTAGCTAAGACAATGTATATGTCACATATGTGGGCACCCTGGGAGGCCAGAGGAGGGTATTGGATCCCCTGGACTAAGTGTTACAGGTCGCTGTGGGCTATTCAATGTAGGTTCTGGAAGAGCAGCAAGTACTCTTAAGTGCTGAGCCATCGTTCCAGCTCCAAGAAAAATAATATTTCTCTGCAAGGGTCATATAGTTGTAACAAAGTTTTAAACTGTATGATTTTAGCCTAACAGCATTATACGGAAGATTAAAAGGAAAAAGTGAATTACCAGAGTAGAGTAAAAGTAGCTGTGGTTGAATGTTTGTATTACATTTACTTACTTCTATCAGTCAAGTGTGTTTATGTTCTCAAGTTTAGGACGTAGCACAGGAGTCCTTATCCTCAGGATATGCCCCGTGCCTGTCAGTGACTCATGAAACCACAAATAGTATGGAGCCTTATGCAGTAAGGTTGGGAGAAGGTGATCCTGGGCATGGAGAAGTACTAGGTATCTGCTGTACCGTTGAGCTGCTCCGGTCCACACCTGCAACAGCAGCAAACTAGCCACTGGAGCTGACCAAACCGTTAGAACGGTTACTCCCTCTTTAATGCGGTGCTGGGGTGGTGCTGGGGCGTTCTGCATGCTGGTCAAGCATACTGTCCACCCCGGAGCTACAGCGCACTGTGGGCTGTGTGTGGGAAACCAGTGAAAGTGAACCTGGAGGTGCGGGGGCCCAGCGAGCACCTTCTGTGGCTTCCTCTCCTCAGGGACTTGTTTTTGTCTTAACTTAGGAATGGTAAGTTTTGTTCCCTGTTCAGTTTTAATTTATAGTCCCTTCTAAGAATGTGCCTTTCTGGGATCACAAATAACAATAAAGCACACTACAGACATGCACAGTAGCACACTTTTGTCAGAGAAATTGTGTTTTTCTCTTTGTGCCTTCCCTTTTTATCTTTACAACTTCATGGGCTCACGTGTGTTATCCTAAATATCCCAGGGACTTAATCCTCTGTGGCCCTCTTTTCGTTATATAATTAGTGAGACATAACTTTGACTTTTTCCCCCTAACTTATTGATGAATTAGTTATTTTCCTGTTGCTATGCTAGAAACCCTCAACAGAGAGCAACTTAAGGGAGAAGGGGTCTATACTTTGGCTCGCAGTTCCAGAGGGACAGAGCCCATCATAGCCGGCCTGCAGTCTCGAAGGAGAGAGAGTGAGACCTGGAAGGGGCCCAGCTGGAAAAATTCCAAAGCTCCCGGCCAGTGTGTACTTCCTCTAGCAAGGCCCCACCAACTGAAACTGAGTGTTCAAATGCATGAGTCCCTGGAAGGCATTTCCACTCAAGCACCACAGTGACCTGTCCGTCTTTACTGATAGAGTGAATCGGCAGGAATTCAGCGGGCACAGATTCAGAAAGAACTTTGGAGAATTCAAGATGTCATGGAGGGGTTGAGCAAACACAAACAGCAAAGAGGTTCCTCAGAAACAGGTAGGTCAGCTTGGCCTGGCTGCGTCTGTCATTGAATGGGTACATAAATTAATAAAGTAGAAGCCCCGACCACACAAACCCTTGTTCTGTGTCTGATTACTGACAGCACTTTAGCTTTATCAACGCCTTAATTCTGACCCTTCTTTGTGGAGATCTTACACCTCTGTTTCCTTTTGCTTTCCCTTTTTAATAATATCTTTTATTTATTCTTTGAAAGTTTCGGACATGTACACAGTGTGTCTTGACCATACCACCCCAGCTCCCCTCACGACTGTGAACACCACCTTCCTGTCTGTTCTTGTTGTTAACCAGTGGTTCCAGTTCCTGCTGCTGTTAGGGTGCTGACTGATCTTGTTGGCTTTCCCCTCCTGAATGTAATAATAGTTGCCTGTGACATTGTATAGATTAACCATGCTTTATCCTTTTCCATTTGAACATGTGAAGTGTCTGGAGTGCTATTTTGGTACTATCTGTAAGTCCTTCTGTAACAGGCATTGTAGCTAGAGTTTTCCTGCCTTGCCCACAGTCAGGACAAATCTCTGTCACCTGCCAGTCCCACAGCCGCTCAGACCCAACCAAGTAAACACAGAGACTTATATTGCATACAAACTGTATGGCCGTGGCAGGCTTCTTGTTAACTGTTCTTATATCTTAAATTAACGCATTTCTACAAATCTATACCTTGCCACGTGGCTCGTGGCTTACCAGCATCTTCACATGCTGCTTGTCCTGGCTGCGGCTGGCAGTGACTCCTTCCGCCTTCCTGTTCTTTCTTTTCTCCTCTGTTAGTCCCACCTATACTTCCTGCCTAGCCACTGGCCAATCAGTGTTTTATTGACCAACCAGAGTAATTTAACATACAGACCATCATCCCACAGCAAGGCATCATTAGGCATATAACAGAAAATACTTGCTAGTACCCCCTAGTTTCCACAGTGTGAAAAGTTAGTACGTACTCCATTCGCATCAAAGAGAACTGTTTATACCAATAATGCTTGAGGAATTTTTTTTTTTTCTGAGACGGGGTTTCTCTGTGTAGTGTTGATGCCTGTCCTGAATCTCGCTCTGTAGACCAGGCTGGCCTCGAACTCACAGAGATCCGCCTGGCTCTGCCTCCCGAGTGCTGGGATTAAAGGCGTGCACCACCACTGCCCAGCTGAGGAAACATACTTTTACAGATCTTTTCTTTTTCTATTTTTAAGATTTTTTTTTTTAATTTATTTTATGTGTATGGGTGTTTTGCCTCCATGTTTGTGTGTGTGACTTGTGTCCGCGGAGACTGGAAGAGAGCACCAGATCGACTGGAACTGGAGTTTTATAGCCACCAGAAGAGTTTATTATGTATACAGCATGTATGACTGCAGGCCAGAAGAGGGCACCAGATCTCGTTAGAGATGGTTGTGAGCCACCATGTGGTTGCTGGGAATTGAACTCAGGGCCTCTGGAAGAACAGTCAGTGCTCTTAACCTCTGAGCCATCTCTCCAGCCCCTCCAGCCAGTGTTTTTAACCAGTGAGCCATCTCTCCAGCTCCAATACCAATTCTTTTTTTTTCTGGTTTTTTGAGACATTGTTTCTCTGTGTATCTTTGTGCCTTCCCTGGAACTCATTCTGCAGCCCAGGCTGGCCTCGAATTCACAGAAATCTGCCTGCCTCTGCCTCCCAAGTGCTGGGACTAAAGGCGTGTGCCACCACCGCCTGGCCCACATACCAATTCTTAAATTTAATATTTAGAGCAGATATTGGCAGTACACGCCTTTCATCTCAACACTCAGGAGGCAGACTGTGAGTTTGAAGCCAGCCTGGTCTACAGAGAGAGTTCCAGGACAGCCAGGGCTACACAGAGAAACCCTGTGGAAAAACCAAAAAAGAAAAGAAAAGAAGGCTAACACTTGTAATGCTGGCACTGGGGAGGCTGAGGCCAGGGTGTGGCCTAAATGAGTGGTAGGTGAGCTTAAGCTTCATAGCAAACTCCTGGAAGCACAGTAGAGGGGTGGGTGGGGACACTAATGTGAAGACTTCCTGTCAAATCAATGAAACCAGGCTGGTGAGGTGGTTCAGTAGGTAAGGACACTGCCTGGCAGGGCTGGAGACCTGAGTTTGATTCCTAAGACCCACAAGGTGAAAGGACAGAACCCACTTGTGGAAGTTGTCCTCTACCTTCCACATGTGTGCCCTGGCACATGTGTGCACACATGTGTGCATACACACGCACACAAAATAAATACATTTAATTTAAAAATTTTAAGTGAAGTAAGCTAACCAAAGTCATTCTTTCTGTGGGTTTAGAACAGTGTTCTTAGTATAAGTAGTTATGTTTTCCAATTTTCCCAGTAGGTCTGGCAGGATCAAAGCCTTTCTCAGCAGTTAAGTACAAAAGCGAGGTAAGTTTGGTTTGTTTTTCGACGAGCTAACTTTAAATGTTAACAAGTGAAATTCAAAGTAGTTAAGTCTTCTCTATTCCTGAAAAAATATTTTTTTTAGCCTGCCTGGGGTGGTGGTGCACAACCCAGTCCTCGGGAGGTTGAGGCAGGAGGATGGCAAATTGTGGCCAGTCTGGGCTACATAGTGTGACTCTATCTCAGGGAACAGAAAAAGAAAGATAGAAATGTCTTTTAAATACAGTTAGATTATTTTAATCTTGAAATGTTACTTAGTAATTTGGTACCTTAGTAATTTCTAACATGATTTTTCTTCCTTAAATGCAAAAATCAAATTAGTGACTACTTTTCATCTATTAGAGCTTTAACATTATTGTGCTTTTTCTGAGTAATTTGAGTATTTATCATGGCTTCTTATATTTGATAACATTTATAGGATGGTTGCTAGATAAAGTTGACTCGGTCATGCATGCCATAGAGAAATTATAACAACAAAGAGATACTGTCAACCTAATTGAAAAAAGTCTGTGGCCTTGAGTTTTGTTTAAAAGCCAAAAAGAAATTCTTTTTTCTCTCAAAATCATCAAAAATATGTAATAATAATAATTTTTTAGCCAGGTTTTTTTTTTTTCCTTCTTCCTGGTTTTACAATGAAGTACAGTAATTTCCCATAGTGATCTGTCTGGGTAGGTAAAGCTACCCTGTAAGTGTAGGAGAAAACAGATATGGCACTTAAGCCCATTATTTACTATCATTCACAATTGGTGTGGTTTTTCACCATGAGACTCTTGGCTTGGCAGTGTCCCTTTAATCCTATTACAGTAACTTGAATTAATGTAGCAATGAAAACAGTGTAGAGATGCTTAACCCAATCTGCTTATCTAAATAAGGTGACTATTCTACAATCTTTAGGAAGAGGAAGTAGTCCCACCTCGGCCTCCACTTCCTCGGTCTTATGACTTTACAGAGCAGCCTCCCATAATCCCCCCTCTGCCCAGTGATAGCAGCTCCTTGCTCTGTTATAGCAGGGGCCCCGTGCATCTGCCTGAAGAAAGGAAGACTCATCAAGTTCAAGGATATCCAAGAAATGGATCTCACTGTGTAAGTGGCTGCCATAGCCACAGAACGATTTTATATACCCACTCATTTTTGAAAATTAATTTATTTCATGCTCCAGCTTATTTTTGCTATAACTCCATTTTTTAGCTAGTGCCTTTTTGTTTGCATATAACATTACCCTTTGTTTTTCCAATTTACATTTTATCATTTTACTTTTTAATAATCTCATAATTTTAATATTTCATTATTCATAAAGTGGTTACTTTACACATTCTGATCAAGCCATATTTTAAATTCACCACTTCAGAGTGTTAGAGGCAAACAGAATATTTAGATCAGAAAATAGCAAAATGAGCGGGAGGTGGGCAGTTTAGGAAAACCATGCAAGGACGTAGGTATTGGCAAGGATCAGGGCTCTCTGGGATTGAAAACACGAGGGCTTCAGTGAGCAGATAAAGAGACTGTCGTGAGCAAGGACAGTGGGGACCTAGAAGTAAGCAGGTGGATTGTGAGGTCAAGGCAAGCCTGAGCTATAAATAAAGCAAGACCCTGTCTCCAAAAGAAAAATGAAACTTAGATAATTTTGAGAAATACAAAGTATTCTCTGACAGGAATTTAGTTTGGGATGAACCTTGCTTACTCAGACTTACTTCTAGATGAAAATTTATTGGATTGGATTATTTTTAGACTTTAGTTTGACCATGATAAAACTGTGAGCCTGGCGTGGTGGTGCCCCCCTTTAATCCCAGCACTCGGGAGACAGAGGCAGGCGGACCTCAGTGAGTTCCAGGCCAGACTGGGCTACAAATTGAGTTTCAGGATATCCAGAGCTGCTATACAGAGAAACCCTGTCTTGAAGAAAAAAAAAAAAAGGAGTGACTTTGAGCCATTATGATGGCATCCATCTGTCATACAGTACTCAGAGAGGCAGATGCAGGAGAATCATGACTCTAAACCAGCCTAGGCTAAGCAGCCTCGGAGAGAGAGAATGAGAATGCATGCCTAGGAGGTCAGAAGGATCAGGAGGTCAAGGCCAACTTAGGCTATATGAGACCTACCTCCAAAGAATGACTCTGGGTGATAAAGTGCATGAAAGAAGCTAGAAAGGTTGGTGCAGTGGTTACGAGCGCCTGCTGCTCTTCCAGAGGACCCAGCTTGGTTCTTTGTAGCTACATGGTAGTGCACACCCACCTAAAATGATAGTTCCAGGGAATCTGTGGACCCCGGCACACCTGTGGGGTACACTCAGAAACACGCAGCCAAAACACTAATGTACATATATAAATCTTTAGAGTGAGCACAAGGTTCAGTCTCTACACACTGAAGAAAAGAGACTTTGTCCCTAGGAATAGTCTAAATTTTAAAATAGTAAGTTTCACTAATTAAAAATCTTCCTAAGAAAGGGAAAAAAAAAACAACTTTGAATTATTCTTTCTACTCAGTTGCCATGTAACATATATTGAATTATATCAGAGTTGGGCTTTCCATTTGCATCTTTAAAGGCAAACTTATTTTTCAGTTGAGCCCAGGACCTTACACATGCTAGGCAAGGCTTCTAGCACTGAGCCGCCTACCTAGTTGAGGCGCACAGCACACAGTGACCGTGTGGTTTTCTGTTGTTGCAATCATGTGTCTTCCATTCAAGGGTCCAGACTATAGACTCTACAAGAGTGAGCCAGAGTTGACCACAGTGGCCGAAGTTGATGAATCTAACGGAGAGGAAAAGTCAGAACCAGTTTCCGAGATGGAAGCTCCAGTTGTTAAAGGTCAGTGTTCACAGTATTTGATCTCCTTTTGTGTTTTACTTGGTTTTCAGATATTTTGTGTACATTTTCACCCAGTACATATATAAGTCCATAATCTCATATCTGAAATCTTTGGGGTCTCTTTGAGTTTCCCAATTAAAAAATGTTTTGAGCAGGGCATAGTGGTAAATCTCTGTGGAGTTCAAAGTCAGTCTGGTTTACATAGTGAACTCCAGGACAGCTTTATAGTGAAACTTTGTCTCAGGGGAAAAAATAGAAAGAAAGAAAGAAATGCTTTGACCTAGACATGGTGACACAAACATACAGGAGGCTTGACCAACTAGGGCTATTTACCATGACTCTGTCTCAAAAAAAATAAATAAATAAAGGGGCCAGAGAGTCGGCTCAGTGATTAAGACCACTTGTTGAGGATCTGGGTTCAACTCTCAACACCTACATGGCAGGTCGCACCATCTCTAACTCCAGTTCCAGGAGATCCAAACTCTTCTGACCTCTGAGAGCACCCGGCACACACATGGTACACATATACACATTAAATAAATAAATCTAGAAAATGTGTTTTTAAAGAAATTCAAGTAAAGAGAACCAGAAATGTTTAGGCAAGAGTCACCATTAAGGGTGGTGTAATGGCTCCGTGATTAAGAGTGCTTGCTGTTCTTCCAGAGGACCTAAGTTCGGTACCCAGCACCCACATCAAGCAACTCACAACCACCTGTAATTGCAGCTCCAGGCGATTCCAACATCCTCTTCTGGCCTCCAAGAGCACTGGCAAGTGCATGTAAACGTGTGTGTGTGCATGTGAATGTGTGCGTGTGTACGTGCACGCTCAAGGCACAGCAAGCAGCTTTCCTGGAGAACTTTGTCCTGTCCAGCTGATTGACAGGCCATTAGGATTGTTTCTTATAGGGAGGGCAGAGGTGTGCCATAGTTCTTAATCAGAAAGCCTCTCCACTACATAGTAATCTGACAGGATTTTAGATGGTTCTGTTGGAGACTTTCTAAGCAGTATATCATATTTCTGCCTGGGACTCCAATTTGGGGCCAGTAATCATGGCCCTGGAGTTACAGTTTTTGCTTTTACTAGCTGCTGCTTAAGAGGGAGGCTCATCTGCATCTAGACACAACACACAAGTATCCTTTCGCTCATTCTTTCCTCTTCTCCACCCTAGTGCTGGGGCTGGAATCCAGGACATCAAGCATGCTATGCAAGACTGTTCCACTCTGCTTCATCGCCAGCCTCTGGTCTTATTTTAAGAAGTTTGATGGGCTTTTACATGAAGAAAATCAGTAATATAAAGTTACACTATAACAAAATCATTTTTACTTCATTTGTTTTAATGTTTTTCTGTGTGTGTACATGTGTACATGCATGCCAAGATGTGTATATTGAGGTCAGACAACAACCTCGGAAGTTGATCCTCACTTGAGAGACAAAGTCTCTTGCTTTTTTTTATTTATTTATTTATTGTTTCCCCTCATCTCCATAGAAGTGCTGAGATTACAGATGTACACTTGGCATCCATCATGTGTGCATGCCCTGCCGCTCCTTTGGCGGCCAGAGGACAACGCTGTACAATAAGTTCATTCCTTTAACTTTTGTGTGGGTTCCAGGATTGAACTCAGGTCATCAGGCTTGCATGGCAAGAACTTTTCTCCACAAACTGCCTGCCCTCCTACCCTTCCCTTTTTTTTTCAGATAGAGTTTCAGTCTAGCCCAGGGGGCCTAGAACTCAAAGGGAGCTACCAAGAGAGGGGCCTCTTCTTTTTTTACTGCAGTCATTTATTTTGCTTTTTTCTGCACACCCCCAAACCTTTGCAGTGTTACTGCTGAGAAATTACTGTCTGTTCAATAAGGAAACAGTAGGTTGAATAGAGTTCCGTAGAAATTCACTATAAGCAAGCGTGAGAGGTGTCTCCATTAATCAGTTCCTTTAGTACACTGCCACTCTGCAGTGGTGGAATATGGTGGATACAGCAATAGCAACAACCCACAGAACAGTCTACAGCTGTAGACTACAGAGTTTGCCAGATAGTGAGGTGCTGGATGGATAGCTGGTCATGATACAGGAAGGGAGGCCCTGCTTCCCTACAGGCTAGGAGTGCAGCAGCCGAGGGAAGGTGCTGGAGGTTGGGAGGCATGGCGATGCTCTCTGCATGGGCAGCATCTGTGGGCAGCCTGTGCATGGTCTGCATGCGGACTTTGAAACCCTGTTTTTCCCTCAGACGCAGTTAGTTTTCACGCTTCCAGTGACAGAGAGAATTTGTCACTGAGGGGCTTCATGGTCTTGAACACCCTCACTATCCTGCTGCCTCCTTGTCCTCTTGCCCCGTGTCCCCCTTGCTGGGACTGTCTCCCCTTTTCTGGCCCCTGCAATGGGCTCAGATTCACTGTGCAACAGGGTTCATGCCAAGCTGGTCTTCATGTTGCTTTACAAATGTGGAAATGAATTGCAGTTCACTTTATCTTACTTTTGTTTGGGTCTGGCAGTGTTGGGTATCAGACTTCACACGTGCTAGGCAGGCACTTTACTGAGCTTCTTCCCAAGTGTGATCCAGGCGCCCAAAGAGCCCAGGGGAGTCAGACTCCTCTGGAGCTGGAATTGTGAGCCACGTGATGTGGGTGCAGGGAACTGAACTCAGGTCCTCTAGGAGAACAGTATGAGCTCTTAACCACTCATCTATCTTGATACTAAATCATTCCACTTACATTCCTAGAATAAACCCCAATTACAGAGCTGCTGGCTGAAAATATGGCTCCCGTTCCCACATTAAGAGTAGTTTATTCTGGACTGCATGTGTGTGAACATTCCCTGGGAACACATTCAGGTTACTTCTCTGAGTTTGGTTACCAGCACCCATGTCAAGCAGTGCATGATCACCAGTAACTCCAGTGACATGGGACCTGATACCTCTGGCCTCCATGAAACTCACTCACACACACACACACACACACACACACACACACACACACACACTTGCAAATATAATGAATTAATATTTATCTGTTTTATGAATGTTATGTATCATGTTGGGTGCCCTCGAAGATCAGAATAGGTAGTAGAATCCCTTAGAGCTGGAGTTGCAGGTGGTTATGAGCTGCCTGACATGGATACTGAGAACCGAACTCCAGTCCTCTGTAACAGGTAATGCTCTTAACTGCTGAGCCATCTCTCCAGCCCCAGCACTTTGCAAGTAGCAAATCTGTCTGATTGTGCACCCAGAGCTGGTGTGGTCTAGCGGCAAGCAGAGCTATGTTCATGTATTAGATTCAGTCCCAACTGACCAGAAATCCATAAACAGCAAACGCCTCCCGTGAAGAGCATCAGAAGGGCGCCACGCTGTGTCACAAGCGTTCTGTGGAACTTACAATGCCTTAACTTTCAGGTCCCCACTTTGCAGTTGGAGTTCCTCTGAGAACGAAGTCACCCACGCCGGAGTCCTCCACAATAGCCTCCTATGTGACCTTGAGGAAGACTAAGAAGGTGGAGCTAAGAACGGTACAGACTCGAGATGGAGGGCAGGCCTCTGCACTGCGCCCAGAGCTTGCTGTCTGTAGAGCTTTGTAGAAACCTCGCCTTCCTTATATTTTCTCATAGTTACAAAGTCAGCACCTCAGACGACAGCCTCAGCAGACGTCTTAGTCCACAGTTTGGCTGCACAGTGAGACCATGTCTTTAAAAAAACAAACAAACAGACATAATACAGGGCATGGTGGCCCATGCTTGTAATCCTAACTACTCAGGGGACTGCGGTGTACCTTGAGACCCTGTCTCAAAATCCTCCCCCCGGTAAAAGTAATTGTGAGATAAAACCAACAGCTAAGTATCAGTATTAATGTAGTGGCCATGGGCCGTGATGATAAAGTACAGTTGTTAAGACAAAGAATAATGTTTCTGTAGTTTTATTGTTAACCAAAAAATATTGTAGGGTGTTTTCTTGACTAGTCACTTGACAGTAATGTGTGACTAAAAGTACTGCATTCTCCTAAAATGAAAGAAACTCATGTTATTTAAGTGTTCTGCCCCATCTCTCCCCTCCCCCGCTTCTCCTAGTCCGAGTTTTATGTCATTTTCTGTTTCCAAGACACGGAGTAACTTTATTCAGAGAAGCCACACCATTTATTTTTGTTTGTTGGTTTGTTTTTAGAGACAGGGTTTCTCTCTGTAGCTCTGGTTGTCCTTGAGCTCACTCTGTAGATTCAAACTGGAAGATTCCTCTGATTCTGCCTCCCCAGTGTTGGGATTAAAGGTGTGCACCACCACCACCAGGCCACCTCACTTATTTTTTTATTCATTTGTGTTTAGTGAGACAGGACTCAGCATGTAACCCAAGCCTCAAACGTAGAGCACTGCTGCCTCTGCCTCCTGAGACATCACTACACCAGGGCACCGTGTGTGTGTGTGTGTGTGTGTGTGTGTGTGTGTGTGTGTGTGTGTGTGCGCGCACGCGCGCGCACACACACACACCAGAGGTCCACACTGAGTGGCTTCCTTGATCTTGCCCCACAGAGTATGTCTCCCTGTACCTTCCCTCCCCAAGCACTGGGATTAAAGGCGTGCACCACCACGACCACCACCACCACCACCACCACCACCACCACCCGGCTTCAGTGGGGTTTAATAAAATGGTTTCATATAGGTTTGGGGCTTGTGGGTTAAGAGAAAGAGAAGCACTCGGAAAGAAAGACAGCAATGGCGTGAGCTTTGGCTCTCTAACACACTCGCCCTTTGGCTGTTTCCGCTCTCGGTAGCCACACCCTTGCAGTGGGATGAGTTGATCTTTGCAGTGCTAAGGCTGGAGGCCAGGCCTGTGCAGCTGAGCCAGAACTCTGCCACAGGCTGTGTTCCTGATCCTGCTTTTTGTTGCTGTTGTTTTTCTTTTTGTTCTCCTGTGTCCCATGTAGCTGAGTGAGGCTGTCCTCAAACTATGATCCTCCTGCCTCAGACTCCTGAGTGCTGAATTATATGTCCAAGCCCCCCTCCCCTTTTTTGTTAAACCAAGGACGCAGTACCCGCCCTATCTGTGCCTCTTCTCTGTGTCTCTGTGTTGTAGCCCCCTTGCTCACTCTCTTCATCATGCACCACACGTCAGGACCAGTTAAGGAGGAAGTCACTTAAGGTGCAGTCTGAAGTTCCCTTACTGGCATTCAACTCTCCACCTCTGATTTTTGAATGCAGACATAAGTAACTGTACCTTATAAAATTTTTACTCATGATGTTCTTCAGAAGTATTTGTTTTTGAGACAGCATCTTACGTAATCCAATCTTGCTTTGAGCTCGGTGTAACTGAGGATGACCTTGATCCTCCTGCTTCTGAGTGCTCAGCTGATAAGCAAGCACCTGGTTTATTTGGAGCAAGGAATGTAATTTAGGGCCTAATACATGCTATGCAAGCACTCTACCAACTGAACAACATCTCCAGTGTGTGTGTGTGTGTGTGTGTGTGTGTGTGTGTGTGTGTGTACACACGAGTGTGCACTTGAACTCATGTGTATGTGTATTGACAGACTTATTTTTTATCTGAAGGAAAGACCAAGAAGCGCAGTGGAACAGCTCTGTCTGGCTGAAAGTACTCGACCTAGGATGACTGTGGAAGAGCAAATGGAGAGAATAAGGAGACACCAGCAGGCCTGCCTAAGGGAGAGGAAGAAGGGACTGAATGTTATCAGTGCTTCGGACCAGTCACCCTTACAAAGTCCTTCGAATGGGAGAGAGAATCCTTTCAGGGTCACACAGGTATGTTGACTTCTGATTGCATTGTTTCCCCACCCCCACCAGACAGGGTGTCTCTGTGTGACAGTTCTGGCTGTCCTGGGACTCACTTTGTAGACCTTGCTGACTTTGAACTCACAGAAATCTACCTGCTTCTGCCTCCTGAGGACTGGGATTAAAGGCGTGCACCACCACCACCTGGCTTTCTTTTGGCTATTTTTTTTTTAAGAATATTTTTTTTCAACTTTATTTTATGTGCATTGGTGTGGAGGTGTCAGATCTCCTGGAACTGGAATTATAGACAGTTGTGAGCTGCCATGGGGGTGCTGAGAATTAAACCCAGGTCCTCTGGCAGAGTAGCCAGTGCTCTTAACCACTGGGCCATCTCTCCAGCCCCTGGCTGTTCTTATATATCAGTCTTTTCTATTTGTTAAGAATGCTGCAAAGGAAGGAGCCAGCCTAGCAGTAATGGAAGCACCGCTGGCCATTTCCCTGTGGTTCTGGGCTAATTCAGTAGTCATCACAGAACTACATCCCCAGCCCTCAAGGAAAGTTTTTATTTGGAGAAAAAACCTCATAAATTGTTTGGGATCTCCTTGAACTCATTCTGTAGCCCAAGCAGGCCTTGAACCTAGGATTCTTTTTCCCTGGTCTCACATGTAGCCAAGATTACAAACTTGTATCACAAGACCAGGCTAAGGTTGTATGTAGAACCAATGTGTAGACAAATTTTTCTTTGGGTCACCAGCTCACAAAAAATGACACGGAAACTTATTGTTAATTATGAAAGCTTGGCCTATAGCTTAGGCTTGTCCCACTAGCTCTTATAACTTAAATTAATTCATTTATATTAATCTACATTTTGCCTCCTGGCTTTTTTCCTCTCTTCCATCTTACACCTTCTGTTTCCTATCCATGTCTTCTGGCATCTCTCCCACGACTAGATTCATCTTCCTCTCTCTCCCCCTCTCTCTCTTTCTCTCTTTCTCTCTCTCTCTCTCTCTCTCTGCCCTGAAGTCTTCCTGCTAGCCATTGGCCATTTAGCTTTTTATTAACCAATCAGAAGGCAAAGGCAGGTCTTCACAGTGTATGAGAAGATTATTACATACACTGATCTTTATCTCTGTATTTTGTGCCATGTGTGTTTGTGTAAGTGTGCATACCACACCACACACACATGGAGAAGACAACCTGTAGGAGTTGGTTCTCTCCCTCCAGCTAAGCTCCAGGGACTTAGCTCAGGTTGTCAGGCTTGGCAACAAGTACCCTTGCCCACTGAGCCACCTCGGGCTAGTTCCTCTTTCATCCCTGCTGTTCGCAGCAGGACTGAGATGTTTAACTGTGGCTGTCTTGGAACCTTATGTAACCCGGGCTGAACTCACAGTTTTGGCAATCCTCCTCCCTCTACTTCCAGGCATTAGGATTACAAGCGTAAACCAGCGCAGCAGCCTCTTTTCAACTTGACCTTGTTTTTAGTCGGGGGTGGGAGTAATAACACAGGTCTCTCACCAAATAACTGGAAATGACCTTGAGCTCCTAATCTCCTGCCTCTATTTGGAACTGTTGTGCCAGCATCCTCATAAAAACAAAAAAACAGGAGTAGAGTAGAGACAGCTCAGAGGTTAAGAGTACTTGCTGTTCTTCCAGAAAACCCAGGTTCAGTACCCACATCAAGCAGTTCATAACCACCTGTAACTCTAGCTCCGGAGGATCTGACACTCTCTTCTGGTTCCACGAGTACCCACATACACATAAATAAATAAAAATAGAGTAAAACCACCGGGCGGTGGTGGCGCACGCCTTTAATAGCACTCGGGAGGCAGAGCCAGGCGGATCTCTATGAGTTTGAGGCCAGCCTGGTCTACAGAGCAAGTCCCAGGACAGGCTCCAAAGCTACACAGAGAAACCCTGTCTCTAAAAAAAACAAACAGAAATAAATAAAAAATAAAAATGAAAAAAATAGAGTAAAAACAACAACAACAATGCTTTAAGGCTAGGCAGTAGTAGCAGAGACCTCTAATCGCAGCATTCAGGAAGTGTAGGCAGAGAATTACAATTTCCCCACCAACCTGGGCTACATAGCAAGACCCATCTATAATCGTACCAACTCATAAAGCCGAGACAAAAGACTCACTACAAATTCATGGCCAACCTGAGCTACATAGTGAGTTATGGGCCAACCTGGGACAAGACCTGATTCAAAACAATAACAAAATGTGAGTGCATGAATAAAAATGCTATCTGTCTTTTGAGCAGACTCTACGGAGGGATGATAACATTAAGGAGCTAGACAATGTCCACAGAGAAAATGATATAAAGCCAGACCATGAAACTCCAGCAGCAGAAACCGTTCTATTAGAAGAAGCTGAACCCCAGAATGTGGATCTCGGCAGAAAGGTAGAAGTGGCAGATATGGGAGGGTGGTGGGGTACTCGGAAGATTAGATCCGAGGAACTACGGTATGCTTTTCAGAGAGCTCTAAATCTAAATGAAATGATAGATTTTCTTTAATTTGCTTAATATATTCACTACATAGAAATATCACCCAATGGCTACATCAGCAATGTGTATCATCTCTGTGTATAAATGACTTTTAGTAGTAAATGATATTAATATCTTTAATATACTTAAATCTAGATGTATTCATACATATTTGGGATAGTGTATAATTTGGGGGCATAATTTTTAAACAGTGTGATCATTTTAGCTTTACTAATATTAAATATGGCAAGAATGCTCTGAAAAGCATTTTTCCTTGTTTTGTAGCTTAAAAGAACTGAAAGTATTTTTTATGAAATGCTTTTCACACCTGAGCCAAATGGGATGAATTCTGACGAAGTGATGGATAGAGAAAAACATAAAGGTCAGGCACTGGAAGATATTCCATGCAGGTAAGAGCTGAAGAAGAAAGGAACCCACTGTTCAGAAAGCTGGGAGGCTGTTTCTTAGGATGTGTTTATGTTTATGTATGTATGTGTGTATGTATGTGTGTATGTATGTATGTATGTATGTATGTATATACCATGTGTGTGTCGTACCCACTGAGGCCATCACTGGATTTAACAGGTGACTGTGAGCTGCCATATCATGAGAACCCATGTTCTCTGCAAGAGCAGCCTATGCTCTATAAACTGCTAAGCCACCTCTCCAGCTCAGCTGTGTAACTCTTTAAAAATAGTGAGCTAAGCTAGGTGTGGCAGTGCTTGGGAGGAAGAGACAGGTGGATCTCTGAATTTGAGGCCATACTAGTCACAGGGCGAGTTCCAGGACAGCCAGAGCTACACAGAGAAACCCTATCTTGAAAAAACAACAACAATAACAACAAAAAAAGGCTAGCTTCTGGATCAGAAGTGGACTTCATGGGTCTAGAGAAATGAATTAATTGCTTGCTCTTCAAACATGAGTTCAGATCCCTGGTATGCACATAAAAATTAATACAGCAGTGTACACCTGTACACTACGGAGGCTGTGCAGAGACAGGTGGATCACAGAAGCTCTTGCACCAGCCAAGAGCCCCAGGTGCAATGAAGAAACCCTGGCTCAGAAAATATAAGTGGGAGAGTAATAGAGGAAGAGACCCAATACCTCTGACCTCCACATACCTAAGCATGTGAACATTCATATACCCACACACACATAGACATTAAGATCCTATCTGGAAATACAGTGAATAGACCTTTTGGAATCCTAATCAAACAGTCCTAACCTGGCATTATGAGAGAGTCAGGAAAGTTTTGGAGTACTGGTTCAATAAATAATGGTGTTAAAGTATTAAAAACACATGCTAGGGAGGCAGAGGCAGGCGGATCTCTGTGAGTTCGAGGCCAGTCTGGTCTCCAAAGCGAGTTCCAGGAAAGGCTCAAAGCCAAGAAACCCTGTCTCGAAAAACAAAACAAAACAAAACAAACAAACAAAAAAAAAAAAACCACATGCTAGGGCCTGGAGAGATGGCTCAGCAGTTAAGAGCATGGGCTGCTCCTATGGAGGACTCTGGTTGGATTCCAAAAAGGTGCATGGTGGCTCACAGCTGTTTGTAACTCCACTTCCAAAGAATCTGATGCCCTCTTCTGGCCTCTGAGGGTACTGTGCATACAAATGGTGTGCAGACATACACGTAGACCATACATAAAATGAAAATTGAGGGCTGGAGAGATGGCTCAGAGGTTAGAAGCACTGGCTGTTCTTCCAGAGGTCCTGAGTTCAAATCCCAGCAACCACATGGTGGCTCACAACCATCTATAATGAGATCAGGTGCCCTCTTCTGGCCTGCAGGGATACATATAGGCAGAACACTGTATATGTAATAAATAAATCTTTTTAAAAAAAGAAAATTGAACTGATGTTGGTTTAGGGAGTCAGGGTTCCTGTGCAGTTTAGCTGAAACACCGGCGGTAGGTACAGTGGGGAGTTGCTGAGCTGACTGGCAGCTTCCTAGATGATTGATCTGGTCTTTCTCTGTTTGTATTTCATAAGAAAGAAATAAAATTATTTACAAGAAAACATTAAGTTACTAAATGTAGATGGTGGCATCGTTTCTGTATGAGTGGGTCTCAGTAGCACAGGCTAGCCTAGCTCTCTATGAAATCAGGATGACCTTGGACTTGTGATCCCCTGCCTCCACCTTCCATGTGCTGGACTGCAGGTATGCACCACACACCCAGCTCCTGTGTAGTGTAAGTTCCCATTACAAAGTTAAGTTTGGTGGCGCACACCCGTGGTCTCCACATTGGGAAGCTGAGTCAAGAGGACCAAGTTCAAGAACAGTCTGAGCCATGTAGCCAGATCCCCTATCAGAAGAACAAAAGGAACGGATGGTGTCCTGCGGTGTTAACATGCCAGTCTCTTCTCCTCAGCCCCCAAGAAGAGGCGGAGGCGACAAGCCATTGGGCAGAAAGCCGTCCTGAAGAAGTGCAGCAGAGTCTTCATGAAGAGGAGGAAACTTGCGCTTCTTCTGAGTCACCCCCTGAGGTTCCCAGAGAGGATCAGACCCCAGGTACATGCACACGTCCTGCTTCCCTCAGTGGGTGCTTCTACACGGGGAGTCCACAGGAAGGAGCAGCTGCCCCTGCTCCTCTGCCACCCAGACTCAGAGGACTGGTTCTCACAGAAGAGCCATGCATGGTGACTCACCTGCAGTTCCTGTGCTCTGGAGGTTGAGGGAGTTCAAGGCCAACCTGCACTATGCCATGACCTTGTCTCAAAACTCATCAGTCTGGAGAGATGGCTCAGTGCTAAAGACATACTTTGAAACCACATGCGATGCCTTGAGCACCTGAGGTCAGATGCACCCACTTCTACACAGACATACAGATTTGTTTGTTTGTTTGTTTGTTGTTTTTGAGACAGGGTTTCTCTATGTAATAGCCCAGGTTGTCCAGGAACTCACTTTGTAGATGAGGCTAGCCTCAACTTAAAGATATCCACCTGCCTCTGCCTCCCTAGTGCTGGGATTAAAGAAGTGCCACCATGCCCAACTACATAATTTAAAACAAAGTCTTTTTTGTTTGTTTGTGTTTGTTTGTTTGTTTTTCTGAGACAGGGTTTCTCTGTGTAGCTTTGCGCCTTTCCTGGAACTCACTCTGTAGCCCAGGCTGGCCTCAAACTCACAGAGATCAACCTGCCTCTGCCTCCTGAGTGCTGGAATTAAAGGCATGCACCACCTCTGCCACCAGGCTAAAACAAAGTCTTGAAGCAATGCCTTCCTGCATGGCAATTTTTCCTGCTTGCAGGCCTGGACCCTTGGAACCCACAACCTGATACTTTGTTACCTGATACTGAAGTTACAGGACTATGTGCTTGCTCTGGCCTGGTTGATGGCATGGTGCACACTGGAATTCCAGTGACATAGTATCCCACTGACCTTAGCGCATTAGAGAGTAGACAGTTGGGTGCTATTCTGTCTTTCTTGTGTATTGTGTATGAATGTAGGGCTGGAAGCCTGGCCTTCACATGCAAGTTCTTCACCCTAGGCTTCAGCCTCAGGTTTCTCGTGTTTTTGAACCCTTTTTTCTTCTTTCTGGCGGAGTTTTGGAGGATTGGAGTGGGGTTAGGTATGCTTTTAAACTGTTTGCTGCTGTGCTGCTTCTGGTTTTGTTTTGGGTTTTTTTTGGTGGGCGGGGAGAGTTCAAGAGTTTCCTTGTGTAGCCCTGGCTGTCCTGGAGCTCACTCTATAGAGCAGGCTGGCCTCAAACTCAGAGATCCGCCCGCCTCTCCTTGCTGAGTGCTGGGATTAAAGGTGTGCACACTGTACCTGGCCACTGAGATATTTGCATCTTTTTTTTTTTTTTTTTTTTGGTTTTCCTAGGACTCACTTGGTAGTCCAGGCTGGCCTCGAACTCACAGAGATTCATCTGCCTCTGCCTCCCGAGTGCTGGGATTAAAGGCGTGTGCCACCACAGCCCAGATAGATGTTTGCGTCTTATACTCTGCAAGCAAGACACACTGCAGTCCTCTAAACTCACACCCTCAGGACAGCCTGACACCAAAGAGGAGCGGCAGTGAACTCAGGTCCCAAGGGCCGTCCTGAGCAGTGTCTGTGTGAGCCGTGTTCCCAGGGGAACTTCAGTACTGAGCAGGCAGTGAGCACAGGGCTTCTCAGCTGTGATCAGCAGAGCCCTTTGCTGCTGTGCAGCCTGGATCAGAGGGCTGTGGTGGTGAACCCGCAACACTAACAGCTCTTTGGCACTTAGCTGGTGGAACAGATAGCTGGCAGCTGGCCTCAAAGCCAGGAAGGAAAGAATGGCTTTTTAATCCCAGCACTCTGGAAGAGATGGGACAGGGACAGGCAGATCCTGAGTTCTAGGCCAGCTTGGTCTAGAGAGCAAGTTCCAGGAGAGCCAAGGCTACACAGAGAAACCCCGCCTCCAAAAACAAGAGAAAGCAAATGTCTCACCCCTCCCCAGCCCTGTGACAGCCCAGTCTCACCCCTCCCAGCCCTGTGGCATTGTGGAGATCACAGCACCAGGAGCCATTCTCCATGGTGTCTTAAAAAAGAAAAAACGTCATCTTCTGGCCTCTGGACTGGAGAGACGGCTCCGAGTAAAGGCACTTGCCACCAAGCCTGACAACCCGAGTTGGATCTCTAAGCTGTCTTCTGACCCCGCAAGCATGCACACACAAACACACACACACTAAATATTAATTAGCTTTGTTCAAAACAACGTATGTGTATGTTTATATATATACCTATATGCTTGTGTGTATATACTTATCTTCTGTTTTCTTGGTGTATTTTAGTGAAAAGTCTGTCTGCGTCTCCTGAGTCCTCCGCATCACCAGATCCGCCTACTCCGCCAAAGCTCACAGAAGGATCACATTTCATGTGTGTGTAGTCTCAGAAGTATGTCTTCTCCTTCTCTTTGGTTCCCTGTGTCAGGAGTGTTGTACTTGGATTGTCTCCATTTCTTGGAACAGCAGTACAAGTGAATTAACTCCGGGCTGTGCACTGCCAGCGCACCAGGCCTGTATTTGAAGCCCAGACGGTAGCTTAGATTTCTGACCTTGGCCTTGGAGAGATGGGGTCTGTGACAGTGTTTTCCTCAGTTCCCGGCCTGTGCCAGACCTCCGGGAAGCCCTACCTGTGCTCTGACCTGCCGTCCTGCCCAAGCTCAGGGCTGAGGAGGCGTTTGCGGTCATTTCATACTCACGGGACAGCGTTGGGCACTTAGTTTGGCACCTCTGCCTGGTGAGTAAGCTTGGTGTGACTTGGTTTTTCAGAGGCCGAAGTGTTGCTGCACGGTTAGGATGCAGTTTGTGGTAGAGCACTGAAATCCCAGGGCACTGCTGCAGGCCAGGAAGCAGAGGAGAAGGCGCTCTCCTTGCGGTGCCCCGAGACTGGTGTTAGAATTGAGGATAACTTTCTGAGTCGCTGCTTCCTTCCTTTGTTTGTTCTACTGTGTGATGTATGTGTGTGACAGGCATGAGTGTGCCACAGCACGTGTGTGAAGGCCAGAGACAGCTCTGTGGAGTCGTTCTGGGATCTGACCTCGAGTTGTTAAGTGTGGGGTCTGCATTGCTAAGCTCTCTCACTGACCCCGGGCCTGCTTATCAACAACGTGGACAGTGCTTCCTCTACCGCCATTCTGTGCTGATGAGTAAATAGTTCTCTATTCCTGAAAAACTAAAGCCGAATGAGAATTCGTGTGGCTTTCCCATGTTTCCTCAGCATCTACCACCTGTTACAGTGCTGGGAGCTTTTCAGTTACCATAAATTCCCAAGAGTCGGAAGTGGTAACACACACACTCAGAAAATCTTCTAATTTAACCTGCCCATTCTCGCAGCAGGGCCCGGTGTCTGGAATCCGTCTTCACCCTCACTTTTGTCCTATCTCGTCTCTTTGTCCAGAAACGTTGTGATGTCAACTTTGATTTGAGGCTGTCTGTGTAGAGCCCAGATGCTTCTGTGGGTTTTAGTTCAGCCTCTGCACGGGGTTGAGACGCTTACTAGAGTTAGGAGTGACCTGTTATGACAGGTGTATCTGTGTCTTGCCTTTTCCGTTCCCTAAACTTCTTGATTGTTTATAGCTGACAGTGGTGACAGACTAACACTAGACAAGGGAAACAGACACGCCATGCGGCCGAATGGATGGCCTAGACTTACGTTAGTGAAGAGACCGACATTGAGAACCATTCACAGGGCCAGGTGTGGGGACACGCGCCTTTAACCCACCAGCACCTGAGAGCCAGACATGGCTGGATCTCTGAGTTTAAAGCCAGCCTGGTGTTTACATAGTGAGCTCAGGGACCAAGGCTGCATAGGGAAACCCTGTCTCACAACAAAACACTATCTATAGGAGCTAAACATGTAGCTCAGTTGGTAGAGCACATACCTAACATACATGAAGAGTCTGAGTTCAGTTCCCAGAACCAGGCATGATGGTTGTCTTAGTCAGTGTTCTATTGCTGTGAAGAGTCACCATGACCATGGCAACTCTTATAAAGGAAAACATGTAATGGAGGTGGCAGCTTACAGTTCAGAGGTTCAGTCCATTATCATCAGGGAGCAGAGCACAGCAGCATGCAGGCAGACATGGTGCTGGAGAAGGAGCTGCTACATATTGAACCACAGGCAACAGCAAGTGAACTGAACTAGCTTAGATTGAGCATAGGAGACCTCAAAGCCCACCACCACAGCCACACACTTCCTTCAACAAGGCCACACCTCCTAATAGTGCCACTCCCTTTGGGGCCCATTTTCCTTCAAACCACCACAGTGGTACACACCAGTAATCCCAGCACTTGGGAGGCAGAGGCAGGAGAATCAAAAAATCAAGGTCATCCTTGGTTAAAAAGTGAGTTCCAGGCCAGCCTGAGCTTCATGAGGCTCTACATCAAAACAAAAAGCCATTCACAAGTATTTTTTGGCTTACTAAACAGGCTATAACTTCTGGCACAATAACCATTCCTCTAACAAAGGATGGCCAGAGCTTAAGATTCTCCAGTTTGGTAACTTGTTATTGGATTTTGTCTTTGAACTTTTATTCTAAGTGGCATTGGTCATTACATCCAGGCACAGACATCAGCAGATCTTTTCTCATCTCCTGTTAAGTGGCCACCCTACACAGCTAACCTATGGCACACACTGTCACTACTTACATTATGCCACTGTGTCTGTCATGTTCTCCTGTACTCGTAGTTTTGGTGGGATGTAGGAATCCCCAAAAATGCCGCTGCTGTGGGGTGGTTCAGTAAATTAGTTCGTGAAGTCAGGCAAAGCTATGCCTGCTTTATTGACCTGTTCAGCAACAAATTTGAGACGTTTTCCTGATTGCTGTTTAATTGTGTCACACTTCTGCATTCTCAGTTGGAGTGGAGAGAAAGAAAGAAGGTGCCCTCTGAGTGCTCTGTGTTAGGGTTTTCCAGGCCATGCTTGTCACTTCTGCTATGCCGTCTTAGTTACTTTGGGACACGGCCGTTCATTAGCTTTGCAGATGTCAAAAGTAATTTCCCCTCTCTTGGTTTTCAGCTGCACTGACGTCTCTTGAGAGCACACAGAGCTGAAGCTGTGGACCCTCAGCCATGTAAGAAGATGTTGTACAGTATACCTTAAATCTATGAAATTCATAGTTCTGATGCTTCTGACCACAGAGCATCGTTTTATCACCTTTGGAAAATGTTTATTCCAAAATAGCTTTAATGGCCCATATGTGCACTCCGTAGTCTCAAGGTCACCATCCTCCACCGGCTTGCTGCTATGAGTTCAGAACACACCGGTCAAGGTGCTTTCTCCCGCACTCCATCCAGAGCTTGCTTAGTTGCAGTCCCCAGATTTGGATGCTTACGTCTAGGTGAATTTATGTTCCTTTGGCTTTTCGGCAAAGCTGTACTTTCCTGTGAAGCTTGTTTTCTTCCTTCTTTCCTCCCATTTTGGCTACTGCAGTACTTTGTTTGACACTTGATTTGTAAAAATTTTATATAATATATTTAAAATGTGCCATTTTTTTACTGCTAAGTGAAGTATGTCCTGTTTTCTGCTATAATGCTTCCTCGGTCAGATTGCAACGTCAGCAGTTACTGCCATACTCTGTCAGCTTCAACACAAATGCTATTGCGTAGCTTTTCTTTAAAAAGCAAAACAATTACAAGTGTAGGTATTCTGAAGTACTGGACGTTTACGTCATTGGAATAGATGTGTACAGCAATAAGCAGGCTTTTAGATCCAGTACTCAGTCTGTGTACAGATGTAATTATGTTCATTGTGTAGATGTCACACAGTGAGCACATGTAATAAAGGCTGCTTACTAGAGATTAATGCAAATGTTCATATCTCATTTCTTTTTTATCATGTTAAATAAATGTTGATGTTCTTAAATCACTTGTGTTAGAATCTTTTTTTTCTCTCTTCCCCCCTAGCCCCCAGGGTTTCACTATGTAGCTCTGGCTTTGAAAGACAGCCTGCCTCTGCTTCCCAAGTGTTGGCATTAGAGGTGTGCACCACCACATCTGGCTAGAGTCTTTTTTTTTTTTTTTTTTTTCTTGTCATTTAAAATGGAGAATCTGAGACCTGGAATGTAGCCCAGAGATAGAGCACTTTCCCAGCATGTATGAGTCCCTATGATGATTAATTCCCAACACCAGAAAAAGAAAAGAGGGGGAAAAAATCAGAGACCCAAGTGAAAAGTGGCATGTTAATCCTGCCTCCCTGGGCAGCGCCATTAAAAGGCCTTATGAGTCCAGCCCTCCCATGACAGAGTAAAGGAACCTGAGGCCAGGGAAGAAAATGGTGCTGACCACGGTCATCCACTTCATGACACAGTGTAGACCACCATATCATTGTTCTGACTTCCCATAAATCCATCAGCTCATCACCGATGGGCGGAGTTAGTTTTGTGAAGTCTCCTACCCTGTTTCTAAGTCTCCAGGCTGCAGTCCCAGTGGGCTCAGTGAACGTGGGGGAGGGGCTGCTCCTCTGCCTGGGGAACTAGACACTGTTTCTCTTGAGTGGGGCCCTCAGAGATGGTTTCTTTAGATGGTTTCTTTAGAAAACATTCTTTGCAGATGTTCACGCTCTTCAGAATCAATTACGTTTCCTTCCTCTCCAACCTTTTGTTCACACTGTGTATTGTTCACGGAGTACAAGGAAATGTGATGCTTTCTGGATTCCCGTGCAGGAGAGCTCCAACCAAGTTGGCCCTGGTCAAAGCAGTCCCCCATCCCATGGTACACTAAAGAGGATGTAGACGTAATTCAAAATGCAGATGAATAAAAACTCATGCGCCGCAACAGTGTGCTTAGCCGAAGTCTGTAGGTCAGTGAAAACAGGTCAGAACAGTGTTGCAAGCTCAGAGTCTGTAAACGCAGTACCTTTATGTAACAGTGTCAAACAAAAGCCTCAGACTCTGCCCCCTCAGTCATAACATGATAGAAGGCAGCTTTGCCATGATGAGAGATGGTTTGGTTTTTTTTTTCCAGGGATTCTTTGGGCTTCTTTAAGGGTTTGAGTTTGGGGAGGGAGGGTCTCTTTTTCTTTTTTTAAAGATTTGCTTATTATTTTTAAGTGTGTTTGTGTATGTTTGTACACACAAGTTCAGGATCCCACCGAGGCAATAGACTTCAGATCCTCCTGGAACTGGAGTTACAGGAAGCTGTGAGCTACTGTTATTTTCACTACCACAACTTTGAGCCAAATTGAAGCAAGCCTTAATTAAATGCCGGCCAGGATGATGGACTCTGGCTAGTCTGTTCTGGGGTTCCCAGAAGATGGCCATGAACTATGTTAGCCAGGTGCTTATAAAGGCAAACCCAGAAGGCTAAGTACTTCCCACCTACATCCAAGCTGGGGTAAGCATACATCCTGATGCATTTCCTGCCCACGTACCTCCCACCTACGTGTGGTCAAGCGCATCTGGTGCAATTAGGTCAAACAAACTTGTTTAGGGAAGTGAAAACGTGGCTTGTTATCTCACATGAACAACAGCCTCCAGCACCTCAGGAAGTACCTGGTCCTTGGGCAAGGGCTTATAGGTCAGAGGCGTTTTTCGTTTCATGGCTCTCTTAGGCACAGTAACTAAAACTTAAAACATAGCTTTCATTCTCACACTGCCTGACATGGGTGCTGGTCATCGGACTTAGGTCTTCCAGAAAGACAGTATACACCCTTAATCCCTGACATCTCTCCAGACCCTACTTATTTTATCTTACCTGTATATTTCTAAGTATATGTATGTACACCACGTGTGTGAATGTGCCCTTGGCCAGAAGGGCTTCTGATCACCTTAAACTAGCTTCAGATGATTGTGATCTGCCCCATGTGGGTGTTGGGAACCAAACCTGGGTCCATTAGAAGAACAGCAAGTGTTCTTAACCTGAGCAATGCCTCTAGCTCTGCCCCACAGATTTTCCTAAGGTGGAGTAGTCGATGTAATTTCTGTGAATCATCTTCAGTGTTATAGGAACTTTGGAAGCAGATCTAGCAGAACCGATCACTTCTGACTCTGCCTTGGAGGCCTGCACCACCGTGACCCATTTCATGTGGTCCTGGGGAACAGACCCAGTGCTTCCTAGCTGCTCGCACTCTGCCAACTGAGCTCCTGACCCCCTGCCCCAAACTGAGTCACTGAATGCAGAAACTTTTTTGTTATGCTAAAGTAACGTACTTTGGAGTTTTCCCAAATTTTCCTTGAATTTGTCATGCGCTGGTTAAATCTGTAGGATGTGGTTTGGATTTTTAAAGTAGGCATTTTTTTTCATTTGTCAATTTTGAAGTTTTAATTATAAAGTAATTCACAGGCTGGGCGGTGGTGGCCCACACCTTTAATCCCAGCACTCGGGAGGCAGAGGCAGGCAGATCTCTGTGAGTTTGAGGTCAGCCTGGAGTACCGAGTGAGTCCCAGGAATGGCACAAAGCTATACAGAGAAACCCTGTCTCGAAAAAAACCAAAAAAAAAAAAGAAAGGAAAAGAAATTCTCATTGAAAAGTCGACCAAAAACTTGAGAAGGCCAAGGGTAAACAGCTGGCAGAACTAACCATGGCGTGGGTTCCAGCCTGTGGCAGCTCTCTTCAGCATCGGATGGAGCGGGGCTGATGTTCCTGTGTGTGCACCACTCAGTGCTCCCTGGTCTCTGGGTAGGGCCGTCTGGGCTCTCTCCTAAGGTCTCCATCTACAGGCTTTTGACATACCCCTCCAGGGCACATGCTGCAGCTGTTAGCTTGTTCAGGCAGCTGCAGAGAAGGGAGGCAGACCTCAGGCAGGACCATGCTTTTCACAGTGAGGGAACACTGTTGTCACTGCTGTGCAGGTGACAAAAGGCCTACAGAGGAAGATGGGGTGCCCCCTCTTACAGGGCAGAAATGACTTACACATCTGCAGAAGCTAGGAGAGGTAACCAATTACTTACGTAGTTCACAAGGGAAGCCGGGAGGTGTAGTTTTTCTGCAGGAGACTCATTCCTAACTCAGAGAATATAAAAAATGCAGGGCAGGGGTGTTATAGCCGTTTTCTGCTAAGGAGGGTCTTTGTTGGAGGGGGTAGTTCTGAGTCCATTAAAGGGGGGGTCCTCGCTGCGCGGTGGTGGTGCACGCCTGTAGCTGGAGTTTTCTCCAGTCCCACCAGGCCACCCAGACCCAAGTAAACATACAGACACTTTAATATAATTATATAATATAATTTAATTAATATATTAAAACTGTTTGACCTAATGGCTCAGGCTTCTTGCTAGCTAGATATTACACTTAAATTAACCCATAATTTTTATTTATGTTTAGCCATGTGGCTTGATACCTTTTCCCAGTTTGGCCTTCACATCTTGTTTCCTCTGTGTCTGGTTGGCTACTCCTCTCTCAGCCTTCCTGTTCCCAGAATTCTCCTCTCTTTGTCAAGCCTTCTTGCTTGGCTACTGGCCAATCAGCACTTTATTTATTAGCCAATCAGAGCACCACATTCATAGCATACAGTGCCATATCCACAGCACACGCCTTTAATCCCAACACTGGTAGGCAGAGGCAGGCGGATCTCTCTGAGTTCCTGTAAGCAGATGACTCAGTTACAGAATGGAACTAAGAGATTTTCTGGGAAGGCTGAGGGACAGGAGGCAAAAGGGTGGGAGAAATGGAGTGGGCCCCTGAGAGGAAGTGGACATAGAGTTGATTCAGGGTGGCAGTGACTGGTCCCATTGGCAGGAATGAATTGAAATGAGCTAGCAGAAGTGGCAGGGAGCTACAGTGTGCCAGAGGAAGGGAACAGGAGAAAACAGACTAACGTAAAGACTTGTATCTGGCCTGGAGTGAAAGGTCTTTTTGCAGATTGTCTTAATTAGGTTTCTACTGCTATGAAGAGACACCATGACCACCCACGGCAACTCTTATAAAGGAAAACATTTAATTGGAACCGACTTACAGTTCAGAGTTTTGGTCCACTATCATGGTGGGAAGCATGACAGCAGGCGGGCAGACATGGTGCTGGAGAAGGAGCAGAGAGTTCTACATCCAGCTCAGCAGGCAGCAGGAATAGAGAATGACACTGGGTCTGGGTTGAGCTGAAGTCTCAAAACCCAACCCCACCCCACCCCTGGGACACAGTCCCTCCAACAAGACCACACCTCCAGTAATATCACTCCCTATTAGTCTATGGGGGCCATTTTCATCCAACCCACCACACAGATGTATAAGGAGAGGTCGGAGCTATGAGAGGGTGTGAGCTATCAGGAGAGCTTGTGTGGAACATTGTGTTTGGGTCTAGGGTGAAGTTCAGTAAGTAAAACATTTAAAACAGGGTAAAAGCATGGGTGTGAGGACCAGAGGAAAGAGTGGGGAGGAGCCAGTGCGGGAGGGAACCAGAAGGAAGTTTTATCTGGTCCCTGTGTCTCTAAGCACCATTTAAAACCAGTTAGGATTTGTTGGCGGCATGGAAGCAGCATTGTTCAAGGAGGGCACAGATCTGACTCCTTGGCAGCAGTCAGATCTGGTCCTTTTTAACCTTGGAGTACTGCAGCAGTCACAGAGTTGAGCTGGTCCTGGAGGATGTTAAGCTGATCTGAGCTGGTGAGACAGGTTAATTGTCACAAAAAAGGCTTCAGTCCAGCTGCTTTAGTTGTGGGTCCTCAAAACAATCTCCAGAGTGGCAAGAAGAGGGATCAGTTGGATGGCCCATGGCCCATTAGTCCCCTTTTAGAGGGAACCAAATTGCTTTTAGGGGATTGGGGGTATCAGTCTCTTGGTAACTGCTTCAAGGCTGACATATGGTCGATGAGCAGCAGTTAGAATGCCTCTGAAGAGGGTCTATCCAAGGGGTCATGATAAACTCAACATTTGGCAAAGATCCAGAACATGTCAGCAGTAACAACTGTATAACACTGTGGGGAACATTAAGAGAC